ATTAAAATCGATGATGGTAAACGTTGTCAATGTTTTCCATCACTGATTAGTTGGCTTTCGATTAGTTACCCTGTTCCCGGCTCCACACACGCCGCACGCTTCATGCCTTACACCGCACCGCCTCCTCGTCTGACACCGCTCTGAGCTTTCTCCCATCGCTTCTCGCCGCCAAAACGATCACGCCGTTGCAGGGACACTGCAGCGTGGGTGAACGAAGATCTCGGGGAAGAAAGTAACGTTGCTTGCAGGTAAGACTGCCTGCACTTTTCCCCCACATGCTGTATAACTGTATTGCTAGGATAGTTATTGGTTGTATTCCTCTTTAGCTGATGGTATATTGCGCTGTATATGATCAATCAGCTATAGAGGAATACAAATCCCAGCAATCATTATACAGTGTATGTATAATGTATTGCCAGGATGTTTTGTATTCCACTACAGCTGGTAGTATTCTGCCTTGCACTGTAAAATCATTATACAGCGCAATAATTTACAACCAGCTATAGAGGAATACAACAAATCCCAGCCAGCAATAATACATTATACAGCTGCGCAATGCAGGCAGAATACCACCAGCTATAGAGGAATACAACAAATCCCAGCACATGCATTATGAAAGTATGCATGGCTACCAGTAACATTTTTAAAAAGAGATGTACATATCAGAGCCCACAGTATAGGTTTCCTACAGAATGCAGATGGAATAAGAGCTCTAAAAAAGAGGTCACCAATCTTTCAAGCTTCCAACCACATCAACATACAAGAGACAGTAATCCACAGAGTCCATAATATATTGGACACTAAGAATACATGGTGGCACTAGTGGACAGCAATATTTCAGAGCCATCAGTGGTTCCATCATCAGGCAAACATAGTGACCACATAGCACACTTACAATATCATCACTTATAACTAGGGATGCAACAAAACCGCGTAATTGGGCGAGTACTTGTCAGCAGTTTCATAAAGTAAATCACATTTCTATCTATCTTTAGGCTAAAGCAAAATGCCTTTCACAATGGAGCTATATTTGGGCTTTTTCAGGGGTTAAAGCCAAGAGGGAAATTATTGTATGTGATGTTTTCACATAAACATTTTCCACAGTCTTTGTTTACATTGCTGGATAAAAGAAGAAAAATTGTACTAAAACTGCAGAAACAGCAATATAAATAGGGGATATCTTAATGCAGGCGAGAATATAAAGTTTATAGTTCACATACCCATCTACAGTGCGGCAAGAGATGCAATCTGAGTATAGATAAACGTCAGACCACTGACTACTCATGATTACAAGATGAAGATGTGTGGGCATGCAGTCTACAAGCTACCCGCCTGTCGCTCCCCATAACCAATATTTACACACTGATCAAGTAAAGACTCCCTTTATTTTGACTGTTTTAACGACAGCTTTTAACATTTTCTCTTTCATTTATAGAAGGCCGTTTTTAGCCTTTTCAAACAAACGCGACGCTGTGGCTTGAACTCAGCCTGTTAAAATTCTTCTAGTCTAAATCTCAGGAAAATAAATACATTTTAAAAAAGGACCAGAGTGCACTGCTCCCACAAATATTTACCCAACGGTGTCAGAAGGCTATCAAAACGGGAATATGTTAGTAAGTCCCACAGAGCTGATTTTTAACCTAGGCATGCTAACTTTCCTATTGGGATGCAAATTTTGGCCGGTGAAACATATCGGACAAAAATGGCACTTTCGGCAAAATGCCAAAGTGCCATTTTGTGGGCAAAATTGCGGCGCATCCATGGTTTCTCTCCTCCAGTGCCCAGCATGGAGGGAAGAAACGTTCAGGCGGCCAAGCAGGGTGGGGAGGTGAGAGGTGTGCGCGGCTGCCGTGTCACAGGAGGCTGAGTGGTGTGGGGGCAGAGACAGTTCTCAGCTGTCACAGGAGGCTGAGTCGGCGGTGCGGGGGCAGACTGTTGCTGTCAAAACAGACCAAGCTCTCCTCCTCGCACCTCCCGCTTTGCATCCTGTGAGCAAGTCAGGATGGAGAACGGTTACAAGTACTTTAAATAATTGAAGACATAGTATGGTTACTATATCCCCATTTATGAATGAATGGGAAGTACTCTACATCACTTCCTGTTCATTCATGATTGTGGATACAGTTAACGTACTATCTCCACAAGTTATGAATGAACAGGAACACTCAGTATAGAAGATACCTGTTCATTATAACGAGCTGCAAAAAAAAAGAGATTGAGGACTCTGGGTCCTCAGTCTCTTTTTCCATTTCAAAGGGGAAATATCAGGGGTCTGTTTAGACCCCCAATATTTCCCCAGAGCCCCCGATAGTAAAGTTACAAAATAAAAAGATTTATTAAAAAATAAATTTTAAAAAATGTAAAAAGGGTTAGGAAAAAAAAACGATTTTGTTTCGGCCTGACATTTCTTTTAGTTTCGGTTTCAACATTTTATTTCGGTGCACCTCCACTATCTATGCAAATAAAGCGCCAGTCAAGAGCCTGAAGTCCTGATAAAAGAGACAATTTGCTAATCATAATATTATATAATTCGGTGCATACCATGCTTTAAAAATATAAATCGTATAAAAGAAAATGACATAATAAGCTTGCTGTAACACAATGTAGAAATATGTACTAATTTACTTAGACAAATTGTTTATTTTTGCCCTGAGGAGGCAGCACAGATCAAAACAATAAAATAAGAATAGTTGCATATAGGAATTCCCTTGAAATTATCTCTATAAACTGGATGTCTAATATATAAACTTTTGTTTGAACTAAAGTCAAGGCCATTCTTAAAGAACCATAAACTTGAACAAAGCACCATTTGGCACCAGAAAGTACTACTTTCCGGTGTTACAAATGGGTGAGTGTGATAAAATTGTAAAGTAAAGGCAGTCTTATTCCAAATTTGCCATCACAGCTTGTAAATGCTGCCAAACATTTATAATCCATCACTGTAAGATATCAACATTATGTCCTCCTCTGCTTTAAATGAGTGTAGAGTGAAACCTGATACAACAAATTACTTTTTTTTATTATTTATTGTGGACTTATCTTGACCGATAAAGGTAAACTGCATGAAAATCACAAAATGTCCAAAGCATAGATTGCAACAGCTCTAGCGTTGTGAAGCTAACTTGCAATAGCCACACACCTTATTGAAGCACATAAGGAATGCAGTACAAAAAATTCCAGTTCTTATCAGTCACAAATGAAGCAACCTGATGCAAACCCAGATAATAAACAAGATGAAATGCCACTAACGGTTTCAAAATAGCAAACATGATACCATACAAGCACTAGCGCCGTCTGAGTTTGCAATTAAACAGTTTCAGTACACAGTATAACAGACAGGTTGAAATTGACGGTCAGGATAAAGTTCTTATTGATATTAAAAAAGCCATTAGTGCCAACAAAAAGTTTATTATATTTTAGATTAAATACCCAGTTTATGGAGATAAATCCAGTGAGTTCCTCTATGTGGCTATTCCTATTTTAATTATTTTATATGTGGTGGCTCCTTAGGGCTAAAACTAACAATTTGTTAGATCATCGATACCCTACAACAGGCTTATAGAAAAGGTTTTGGCCTGGATTTTGGATAATAGGTGCCGCACCCTTGGCAGTAGTTAGCAAAAAAATTGAAGGAATATTTTTTATTTTTAAAAAAAAGTTCATAGCAATTTTGTAAAAGTATTAATGACCAAATAAGTAGATAAAAATAATATTATTATTAAGAATATATTTTTATACTATCTTTGTTTGGAGTTGTCATTCTGGTGCTTTCAAAACCCCACAGGCACCATAGGAACAAAAAGAACAAAAACAGACTGGGTAACTAGCCCAATATCACTGTTCCTTCCCAGCAGCACAAGAGAGAATGGTGGATGCACATCGGCTGAACCAGTCATGCTCCAGCATCAGCAGTTACTCACAGAATAAACCCCCCCTCTATCTCTACGACTAAGTCCATTATTGGGTGAAAGCTGACAGATTTAAGAGGATCCACGGTGGGACAATGTGTGCTGTAATAAATGTTTCAGCGAAGCTTGCAATGCGAGACTGGACTTTTTTTCTGTGAACAACCAGGATTGCTTATAAAACCTTCATTAGCTCATCTAATGCCAAAAACGGTTACATAACGATGCTGATATAGACAAGCATGCCCCCCAACTTCTCAGATGAACAGGAGAGACACCCCCTAGCACAAAGTAAGCAGGTAAAGATCACACCCCTGCAATTCCCCACTTACACCAACCATTAGGATTTAATATGCCTTTAGATTGTAAGCCCTCACGGGCAGGGCCCTCCTTACCATCTTGTCTTGAATTGTATTGTAATATCTTCCTTTTATTGTAAAGCGCTGGGCAAACTGTTGGCGCTATATACAGTACATCCTGTATAATAATACTAATAATAATAATATGCAGGTGCCTTCCCACCCCCACTACTACTTTTCCTTTATACAGAATTTGCACAGTAAAAAATGTAATAATCTTGTGATTGGGTGAAAGGTTTAGTGCAGAAAAACAAACACTTTAGTTGATCCAAATGAGGGACTGTTGGGAAGTATGGGCTGTGGAAATGGTGGTACTAATAATTTTCAGCATAGGCCTCATGCTGGCCATACAATTTTGTTGAAATTTTGTTGCTGTCACAGTTCTTTCAGCCTCAAACACTTTCTTGTTTCAAGCAACCAAGCATGAAAAACTAGGATAGCATAATTCCTAGAACAATTTACAACCTATGTTTTATTCATTTGGCTACTGAAAATTAGAAAATGATGATTGCAGATGATAGCTGCCTGAGAGCCATCAAATTGCTTAGGGCATAGCCCGTATTAACTTAAGATTGGTATTTTTTGAAAGCTACAAGTCCACTTTAAACTCTGCAGGCATGTCCTGATTTTATACACAGTCAAGAAGTCACCCTTCAAATATGTTTATCCCTAAAAACAAATGATAACCCTCACTCATAGGGGACAGCAGAAAACTGAATAGTCTGTGTGTACTTACAATGTAACAGCATTGTGGAGCGAAGGCATGCGTCCCACAGACGTACAGGTGGGTTTCATTAAATCTCTGCAAGAGCCTTATATGGTTGAAGCACTCAGTCTGCAAGGAGAAAAAAAGCAAAATTATTATGTTCTAACACCAGAGCACTAAATTTTGCTAAATAGACAAACTAATCTTACATTAAACAGTCACAAGCTCGCACAGGGACCTGAACACATGCTTCTCAGAGATGTTCAGTGTACATGGACAGACATTAAAGCATTCACTTCTCCCAGATGTTTCTTTTCATATTATGATAGAACAGACACATGAATAAATATAGAAAAACAACATGATAAAACACTTAGACAGGGACTGATAAAAAAAAAATAATAATAATATTTTGTTTTTAAGAACGGGGAAAAAACGGTGACATTTAATTCCATTCACATTAATCACAGGTACCAAACTCATAACAGACAGGGATTGGAAGCAATCATCTCATGGCACTGCTGTGCTGGCATCTGAGTCTTTGGAGAGCTGTATATTAAATAGGAAAGCACAGAGGTAAGTGTAATTGACACATTACATTTACCTCCCACAGTCTTTTCTGAAGATACTTCTTGGAGTATCTCATTACTACCTTCGTTTTACCAATGAAGACAGTAGAATAGTAGTGGTTGGGTAAGAACACTAGTTTCCCCCTGCTCTAGTACAATGGCAGTCTACAAGAAAATGTTTTGTACAGTGAACCTGTGCTTAAGCATGCAGGGCAAAGTGAAGCTTGTGTCAGCCAGCTTTTCTTCCCTTAAAATGTTTTTTTATCATTACCATAGCCTATGGGAATGCAAAACCTGCTTAGAGGGTCGAATCACCTGTCAATTGATTCTGAATGATCCTTGAAACATTTTAAACTCATGCCATGGACACAAGCTCAAAACCCATAGACACAGGCCCTAACAGGTTTACTGTAAAGCAACACTGTTGTTGCCATAAAAAAAATTCCAAATACAGATCTGCAAAAGAAAAGGTATTATACCTCACACTCCAGGTGCCCGTGTCTCTTACCTTCACTCCATCATGTGCTACAGTGTATCATAAAGTACTGAATTTGAAACTTCTGCAAGAGTTGGATGACGTGTCCCATCATGAACTGTGGTAGTATTTGTTGACTCCTACAGTGATATAAGAGCAGGAGGATGGAACAACAGGTCATTGTGGGAGGCACAGGCATCCAACACTCCAAGAATATTCCAAATGATGTGGTAGTGCTTCAAATGAGTGAACATTGGATGCACACAGGTTTTGGAAAAAGTGTGAAGCGATTAGAGCCTCTGTCAGGTGTCCCTATTGGAGAGACTTCCCTCCCCACCTGTGAGGACAGGAAGCCATAAAAAAACTATCCAAAGGAAGAACAGCAGAAAACACATTTTTAGAAGAGTAAAGCTGGCCATACACTCTTAGAATTTTTGTAACTGGATGACATTTTAACTGTGGGTGGCCCTGCCAGCACAACCTATCTTGGCAAACTTCAACTGAAAAATCGAAGGAACTGGGCAGAAAAATGTCAGCCAAACAGTGACTGCAACTAGTTAAATCAAATTCAGGATATTTTTCAGCAGGATCTAAATAGAACTATAGGAAAATCTAGGCAGATAAGTGATTTAAAATAAGATAACCAGGTAGTTCATTGGACGAAATAAATGAATAAGAACAAGGAACTTGAAAATACAAACCAATAGACAAATGCAGGCTTTGCACACAAAACACGACTGACAAACTGACTATCCGACATTGTCAAGGACGGACCTTCCATCTGAAGCATGCCATTGTTTTGTTCATCCTCATACAAAATACAAACAAACATTCAGCACACAAAAAATGAGTTATACCTGAACATTTTTGCCTTTGTTGTGACATTTTTTGGTCTCTTCGGCTGTGACCTCCCAATTGATCTAAGACAAAAAAAATAGAGACAAAATAAACACATACAGAACATGCAAGAATAACGTGAATGACAAGCATTTTCCCACCACCCACTATTGTTTTTAAGTCCCTACATGTAAAAGACTATACAGTTAAAGGGTCACTACTTCCAAAATTGATATTTCAGCTTTTGGTGAATGCTAAAGAGTCAAATCTAATGGCAGCTTTAAATATCATTAAATAACTCAGGTGATGCAGCTGTTGGTTCTGATCACCATGAGTTAAAGTAGAAATAAAAACATCAGTACAGTTGTGTACTAAATAAATCATACACTAGTCTGATAAGCAACAACACACTTGGTCAGGTATTCATCTCTACTGATATTATAAAACAAAAGTTGTAAAAAAGCTTGTTCACTTTAGCTGATGAGTAATCTGTTTTACATAAGTGGATCCAACCAAATCCCCCAACTTTGAAACTCTTTCTAGATAAATTATTTTTCATAATTTGTATAGAATCAACATTACAGTTGATTCTGCTGTGAACTTTTGAGGATTTGTTGCTCCACATTGCATGCAGCTACATACAGGTGAAACTCGAATAATTAGAATATCGTGCAAAAGTAATTGCAGTAAGTGCTGCAAAAGGGGCCCAAACCAAGTACTGAGGTGCGATATTGTTCTATGTACAATCCTTGTTTTATTGATTGCATGTAATAATCTACTTTTTTGAGGTTGTGGATTTGGGGTTCTTGGCGTTTTCATGAGCTGTAAGCCATAATCATCACAATTATGACAAATCACGGCTTGAATTATCTTGCTTTGCATGTAATGAGTCTATCTCATATATTAGTTTCACCTTTTAAGTTGCATTAGTGAAATAAATGAACTTTGCACGATATTCTAATTATTCGAGTTTCACCTGTAGGTCATGAGGACTTTTTCTTTAATGATAATATACTGCTTGTCAGGTACATATTAATTGAATGTCTATAACCTGTCAACCATCATTTTTAATCAGTCCTGTAAAATCATGCACAGCAGGGAAGGAGGGACAGCTGCAGTACATATGTGCTGATATGAACAATCAGTGATTTACCAAAGTAAAAGGAAGATAATGATCACAGACAATGCCTGAATCTTCAAAAACAAACCAGCTATAGCAGCCCTACATTTCACTTAAATATATCGAAAGCCAAAACTCAAGTTGTTACGTTTTGGATAAAGTAGAGGATGGTTAAAACTAGGGATGCACAGATACCGGTTTTTCGGTATAGAGTACACATTTTTTTTTTCAGTACTCGCCGATTACGAGCACCGATACTAGACTTGTGCGCCGTCAAAAAATTTGTTCCGTTTCGGAATATCCGTTATTTCGTAATTCGTGTCCGAAACTCAATTCGGATTCATACGAAATACGAATTTTTGTTAGTTTCGGCACATTTTACGAACATTCGTTATGATTAAGTTAAAAAGCAAAAATACCTTTGTTAATATTGGAGTCGATGTGGTAGTTGCTTTTTTATCCGAAAAATACGAATTCCGTTAACGGATTCCGGATCCGAATTTCGGATTAAAAAAAAACTACCATCAACTCCTAAATAAATGTACTTTGCTTTTTAACTTCAATATAACGAATGTTCGTAACGGAACGAAAATACGTCAACGGAATTTCGTATTTCCTGCCTGTATTGTAATGCAACTATCAGCAGCAGAAGAGAAAAGTAAACCTCTGATTGGTCAACCAAACCAAACGAAATACGGATTCCGGATCCGAATTTCGCATTTCGGATAAAAAAAAAACTACCATCAACGCCAATATATTAACAAATGTGCTTTGCTTTTTAACTTCAATATAACGAATGTTCGTAACGGAACGAAATTCCGTCAACGGAATTTCGTATTTCCTGCCTGTGTATTGTAATGCAACCCTCAGCAGCAGCGGATCCGTATTTCGGATTAAAAAAAAAATCTTGTCATGTTGTTCAACCTAATTTACAGGGGTAATATTAGTTCCTGTTTCATAGAAATTCAGATCCGAAACGGAATTTCGTATTTCGGATATAATTCGGAAACTGCAATTCGGATTTCGGGCGCTTCCGAATTTACGAATTTCAGGAAAATTACGTAACGAAACGAATCGCACATGTCTAACTGATACTGGAAGTCCTATTAAGGAAGCCCTGGCGCCGTGTAAACACAAGGTGAAGAGGAAGCATGGAGCCAGCTTTCTGGCTAATCAGAAAGCTGGGGGGTGGGTAATGACTCATCACGTGGCTTACTGATTATCCAGGCAGGAGAGTCATTACACGGCACCCGGCTTCTTTGAATGGCACAGCAAACTGTGTCCACAGACAGTGATTTTTCAAAGTATTCCTGAGATCAAGCAGTGATGTCCATCACAGAATCATGCCTGTTTTAAATGCAGTGCCGTCTGAGGGACCGAAGATCAAAGGGCATTCAGTATTGCATTTCAGCCTTGACCTTTGCGCACAGAGATTTTTTCAGATTCTCTGAATCTTTTGATTACCTTATGTACTGTAGAAGATTATATATTTAAAGTCTTTGCAATTTTACATTGAGAAACATTATTCTGAAATTGGTCCAACAATTTTTAGACGCAAATTGGTGAATCTCTGCCCCTCTTTACTTCTGAGACCCTCTAACTCTCTAAGATGCTCTTTTTATACGCAATCATGTTACTGACCTGTTGCCAATTCACTTAATTCGTTGCAAAATGTTCTTCCAGCTTTTTCTTGTTAGTACCACTTACTGTGCCAGCTCCATGGTCCATTTCTAAGTTTAAACATGTGATATGTTTTCTATTATCTATTGTAAATAACATATGGGTTTATGAGATTTGCAAATCATTGCATTCTTTTTTTATGTAGAATTTACACAGCGTCCCAACTTTTTTGGAATTGGGGTTGTAGGTTTGTTTATTTTGAAAGGCACATGCGCTGCAGTGCATGACAATGCGCAGTAATACACTGTAATATATACCCAATCTTTCCTTCGTTAACTCAATGGAGAGAATTGACCTTGGTCATGATGGGGTTTTATCACAAAGGGTTCATACACCACAACTATGCAATAGTTCAATTGTTGTATTTTTTTTCCAATTAGGTCCCATGCTTCCCTACCATGCCAGCATTTGAATTTTGTAGTGCAACTGGATTCAGTCGTCATTACTGTGAGTTTAATGTGTTCTTCAAAGTCTGGGTTATGCCCAAAAGACTCTGCTTTGTAGCTTCTTTTTTGCAAAAAGAAAATAGAAAAAAAGAATAATAATGGATGCAAAAAAAAGGAAGAATATACAAAACTCTTGGCAGAAAAGAAAAAAAAAAGTAATAAAAGTGAAATTTCACTTACTTTAATTTGAAAGTACTGTTACATTAGGTTGTCATTAGAAAATATACTATAGGCAAGAGGCCATTGACATAAAATTAAAACACATTCCAGTTGAAACTTTGAGACAGACAGCTACCCAGGAACTGCTTCTAAGTTTATTTATGAAGATCATCAAAAAGAGCAAACAAATGGTTATACAGTACTTGGGATTCCTCTACTCTGCTTTAATTGGCTTTAATACAGCCATGTGTTTGTTGTCACCTGACTGACATGTCTAAGACTGTCTAATTGATGGTTTAAAGAACTTTCAACATTAGGGTGCCCTATTGAAGCATTCTGTAGCCCTACTCATAAAATGAATGCGGTACAAGGGCTTCTGCTGTTCAGAGTGACGTATGCTTTAGCAATTTAATTTCGAAACATTGCATAGAAATATTAGGTAGTCATTTATGCAATCAGCAAGTATAGGTCTCCTTTTCATATTTTCCTCTATCATTTTCTCTGCTTTGTTAAAAAAAAATCCTAAAAAACATTGTTTAGCAAACTCATTAGCTCAAGCTAAAATGTACACAGTAAAGTAAATAAGACAGAGATATTACTTTTTCCCTGCTGGAGTGTGGATGCCTCAGTCTGAGGTCCCAATCATACAAAGCAAGCCCAATGCATGCAGGATTTAATGTGCAGTCTCTAACCTACAGTGCTCTGGGATTCCTTTGTCACATATGAAATGTTTGTTAATAAACCAAATAGTGTAAAAATACAGTAAAACACGGACACACAATAATAGTTTAAAAATATATAGCTTGGAAAAACAAATTGACCCCAAACCATCAGACCCCATTCACACTGAGCTACATCAGAAAAAGCGCTTTTTCAGCACTGATTTGAGCTGAGCGACAGAGACGTTGAGCTACAGTGCACATATTGTCACACTACGTAGCTCTACTTTTGGCATGGACTTCGTAGCTGCTGCTAAGAGGTCTTGGTGTGACATAATTCCTCTTCCTGTCTCCTGCTTATGTTCCTGCTTATATTTCTGTGCAAAAGTGACACTTCTGTCGTGCGACATTGAGCTACACCATTGAAGTCTATTGGGCCAAATCGTACGAAATCCGACGAAAAATAGGTAATGTTCAAGCCACAAGCTTGAGCCACAAGCTACAGGCGACATTGCGCTGTGAGATGTGAACAGCTCCTTTGAAATGCATTGGACAAGCTACATTGAGCTGATATTTGAGCGATTTTTGAGCTGAAATCACGCTACAAATCGCTCAGTGTGAATGGGGTCTTATAGATTTCCTTTTAGAACCACACACACTTGGCGGAATTTATTAGAAAAACTGGAGCTGTTGCCAATGGTAACCAATCAACTTCTATCTCTCATTTTAAAGCTTAACTGAACAAATTGATGATAGAAGCTGATTGCTTGCTCCGGGCAACTGCTCCAGATTCTGACTGCTTCAGTTTTGAAAAATGTCCCCGATTGAATCTTCACATGTAGCAAATTAGAAAGCAATACAACAAACTTTTAAAAAATAACTAGTGCATGTTTATCCCTTTGTTTTGCACAGCCTGGTGTCATTTCCTGGTATCTATAAACTAAGTACCGTATATACTCAAGTAGAAGCCGAGATTTTCAGCCCATTTTTTTGGCTGAAGAGTGCCCCCCCTCAGCTTATACTCGAGTCAGCGTCAGGTGTCTTCTTACTTAACTCCATGCTAAGTCACGCTGTAAACAGTTTATTATCTGTTAAAATATTGTCTTGTAGCAAATGATTTCAAGAACATTGTACTAATTCATACTGTGAGAGTTCTGTACAGATGAAGCAACCAATGCAAGAGCAACCAAATGGACTGTGGTGGCATGAGTCACCTGACATGTTGTGTGACTTGGCACAAAAAATCCAGAGCTGTCTTTTCATCTGCCCTGAGGACACAAGGAGTGTCTGAAGATCACTGGCTTAGTCACTAACATGTTTGGGTCAAAGATCAAATATGTCATTACTGCTGTCAAACATTAAATATCTTGCTGACAATAGTACTGACACAACTATTTGTGCTGGTGAGTCACCAACCTGCTTAAGGCTTCTAGTCATTTAAAAACAAACTGCCCTACTGTGCCTATCTTTCTCATTTTGTTTGTTTTAAATGAAAATTAACCAGTGCCAGTTCTGGCCACAGGGAACTGTCACTGACGCCCCTTCTCTTGACTACACACTGTTACTTTCTTTTTCTTTTAAGTCACTGAGTATACCTTACAGGATCATCCAGACCTTTGCATTCAAAACACATGGCTTTTCCAAATAAAGCCCAATTAATCCCTCAGTTGAAAACTGATAAATACATATGTGGTGCTTTAAAATAAAAGGTGTTAAATGTCTCACAGTCAAGTTTCTTTCTAAAGCAGCCACAGCTTGAGTAGAAAAGCCTGTCCCCGGCCAGCTCTGGGGGCAAAATTATTTCAAAAAGAGTTTTAAAAAAAACACACAACGTTAAAAAAAAACAACAACGCCATTTTTGTGCTGCTCTCTGGGGCCTAAATATTTCAAAAGTAAACAAAAACAAAACAAAGCACAGCACACCTATGCACAGTCAGCTACAAATTTCATTTAAGATAATAAAATATATTTTCAATAAAATTGGTAGCTGACTATGCATAGGAACCCATGTGCTGAAGAAGTACTAACTACTTATTGCCAAAAACTGCTTAAAGAATTCACTTAACACTGCTTAACACTTAACACGGCTTAATTCACTATTGCTTAAACGTATTGCTTTCAGGGGGCGTGGCTGGGGACGGGCCTGGGGTGGGGTTGGAGGCGGACCTGGGCAAGGTTTGGTGGGGCAACTGGTGGAAAGTAAGGTTTTTGCCTGGCTAGTAGGTCTAGACTTGAAATTTTAAGCCCTGGTCTAGCCCATATCCTTCTCCATAATGTAGCCCATTCCTCAAACTGTGAGCCTGTGCACAGAGGAATTAATGGTCCTACTACACTGTGTATGGACATACTACTACCCATTAAACCCACCCACTAAAGAAGACAAACCCTTTTGTTCTGTTCTGCAGAAGATCAAACAGAAGACAATCTAACTTACAGTTCTGCGGGATCTGTGAGAAATGTCTGTTGCGTTTAGAGAAAAGATGGCTCCTCTCGCTCCGACAAAGATAATTCCATTTTCATCCTCCAGCAGTAACGTGGTGTAATTCTTCACTTTATCAGTAAATCGCTTGGCATCAGAAAGTTCTGTGGAAAAGAACACATCACGTGTTTACAGTTAGGCTTTGCAGATCGAACACACACACACACACTCCTAGAGAAAGGATTAACCACAAATCACGCAGAAGACTTCAACAGAGCAGAAGACTTGATCACCAATTTCCTTACGTTATTTCCCTTCAGTAACATTATAAAGGACAACATGAGCAGTCCTATAACTGTACAGTACTATGCATTTATGTACAATTCTATACAAAGAGAAACCAAATTATATCACGAGTACACAAGCAATTTGCTTCTACAAAAAGAATACAATTAACAATTAGCGTCATTTTCAATAAATCGTGTGGATTTCATAAAAATATATCCAATGACTTACACATAAAAATCACTACAAATACAGTTTTGTATATGAAGAACATTTATTTCATTAAACTGCATTTTCAGTACTTTTAGAGTTATCACTAAAATGTAATATTCAATTTTAGGTGGAATGGGATAGAGCCCAGTCCCCTGCCAGGTTTTAATGCCAATCTAAAGAAGTTGCAAGGAGATAAAAGGTGAATTAGTAGGAAACAGCTTGCACCCCTTACTGCAACCTTGGACCTGCACTTGGATAATGGCATCCAGATACATCTCAGCTGACCTCGGTATGTTAGAATGATGGAAGGGAATGGTCATAAACATCAACATTTCCTATGGATAATTAAGTAAGGCATTTTGTCTTCAGATTTCTAAAGACAAATATCGAAAGTAATTTACAATAAACCTATAGTTTTATTTTTTTTAAGGAACATATAAAAAGACTTTAGTTTAATGTACACAATTTCACCAAGGTGTGTTTACATTTTAAAAAATGTGTTTCTACTTCCTGGTTATTCCTTGTTGATCCTCGTACATCACTGCTAGTCTACCTGACAGCGTCAGTCCGACAGAAAAAAAAACGATAGACCCTAATGACTGTGACATATAACACCCATGCTGCTCACTGCTAGAAAATGAGGCTGCCTAGGCTTTCGATTGCACACTTTGGTTTCCAATCAATGGCAAGAGAAAGATAGGTTTTACTTTAAAAAAAATTATATTAAGTGATTTGTAAATTTGGACATGTGCATTATGAAAAATACATAGCTGCCATTGCTCCCAATATCTGCAGGAACCTCCCCCCAATTTTGTAAACTATCCCCAATGCTCTGTGTGAAGTCCTATGCATCCCAGACTTTTTCCTGAATCTTAACAGCTGTATAAATATGCAGACATAAATGTGATTCCTCAAGCTGTGCTTGGCCCTGCCTTCATCAACACCTCACTACAGGTCCATCTCGATCATAGACAGTCTCACTGACCATTGGAAATTTGGTATGGGGTCAAGCTCTGCAGAGCTCCTAAGGCTTTGGTGATCCTAGATATAAATAGACAAATTTGTTGGCACTCTTACAGCTCACTGAAATAATACTTAATTTCTCTTGAAAAGTGTTGAAACCAAAGACAATTGTCACACGTATACCTGCATGCCTTTGGCAGGTCATACAAAAATGGTATGCATGTGTGAAAAGAAACAACTGTTGCTTATTCTACAACGATTATACAAAATGGCCTGGCCAGGTTTGTTGGTACCTCTAGGAAGGATTATAAATAATTGGATCCCAGTGATATTTTAATTTAACTGTTTTCTGTAATTAGTATCACAACATGGCTAATTCCTGGTTTTTCTGAGCACATTCAAGTGATCTATCCTTATAGAAAGACTTAGGACTGAAATTTGAGGATTGGGTTTCTCTCATTAACTTCATTACGTTACAATGGAGAAGCCATTGTATGTAACCCCTCACACCCCCTCTTAACATTACAAAAGAAGGAGAAGTTGAAATCTAAGCCAGAAAACCCTAACCCAAGTAAAAGCAATTTAAACTGCAGGAAGCATTTTTTTGTCTTATGCCATGCAAATGGGAACATGTAACAAATACAAAATAGGTGTTATCCCAATTTGGCTGTAAAATTAGAATTCTCTAAATTATCTGTGTCTGGCATGGGGTGCCTAGAATAAGTGCAGAGCACAATAAAATCTCAAGGCTATCAAGGCATCCAGAGTAAAACGTACCACTCTGTGTCAGAATGATCTAGAAGCAGGTCATGGGTACGCCAACAGGATATGACCCAAACATACAGCCTAAAGCACCCAAAATGGCCAAGAACAAAAATTTGAATATTCAGAAGTGGCCTTCTATGAGCCCTGATCCGAGTCATATTGAATATCTATGGAAAGAGCTGAAATATGAAGTCTGGAGAAGGCATAATTCAAAGCAGACATCTGGAGAGGTTCACTCAGTACAAATGGGCCAAAGTACCTGTTGGCAGGTTCAGGATTCTCACTGAGAGCTACAGAAAAATGTTTGTTTGCAGTGACTCCCTCCAAACGTTGTGGAACAAAATATTAGGTTACAGGTCCCATCAATTTTGTCCATTACATTTTAATTTGTTTTATTATTTGAAATATTCTGTCAAATGTCAATATTTTATTAATTGTGGAGTACACAATGATGCAGGCTAATTACTTTTGTCAGTTTCAAGTTATTTTGGACAAAATGTGGGTTCTTTATGTGTGGAAGGGTACCAACAAATAGATCAAAAGTTGTATATCCCATGTGCATGTCTGCAGAAGGTTTTCTAACCTCAAAAAGAACAATTAGTTTATTTTAAGACAAATGAAATGAAGCCTACAAAATAATCATCTATTTCCAATACTCCTTAGTGCTGTAAATATACAGCGGTCATCAGAAAACGGGTCAGTAAAATAGCCTAATGAATAAATAGTGTTTATCATTCCTTCCTATAAAAAATATTTTCTGTAAGTGTATGGACAGAATGGATGTGTACGTGTTTCTGTAATCAGTGGAGGGATGCAGTTCAATGTTCACCTACCACTGGCTCACATGATTATGGTTACTAAGCAACAACCTCCACAGACATGTAGCCGGAGGGCAAACAGCACTGCTCTTTATACTGGCTGCCAGTTGCCACGGTGTGACCAGGGGATACAAGATGGTTCATGGATTCAGCACATCTGCTGACTCAGTAATCTAATCTTTATGAATGATTACGAGCTAGAAGCTGCACTGCTTACAGGAGAAAATCGCCTCCAAGCAAACAGCATTGACCCCTATAGTAAGAACCATTTATATTTTACAAAGGAGAAGAGACGTTAATTTAGTTACTAGGTGGCATTCTAAGGCAGCGGACCTATAGACAAGTTTTTTACTTTAGTTCTGCTTTAACTGCAGACCTGGCTGATGGAGCCAGTCAGCCAGATAAAAAAATGAAAGGGTAAACCCACACTAATGTACCAAACTTTGAGGTGTTGATCCTCCTGGTTTTGTCATTGCTATTTACATGTAGGATTCAGGGCCAAAAAATGTAAAGAGAGTTCTTTGAAATCTCAATCACTAGTATTATGGCAACTCTGCTGTAAGTTGAACTTTGTGACTCAGATCTTTGTAGTACATGTGCTAAATTTCCATGAAGAACGTACAGGGAAGGTCAGTGACACCAGCTATACAGGGTTATGGGCTCCCTAGCGTTTACTCCATAGGAATATAATGGAGAATGCACTGAAGAGAGAAGACCCAGGTGTTGAGCTCACAAAGAGCCCTGGTTGTCACCGTCATGCTTGAGCAGGGTGAGATCATCAAACCCTACCTCACTGCAGATAAAATACTAATACATTTTGGGTGGCGTTAGACCAATACATAATTCACTTGGGAAAGTTAAATACCTTACCAGCAGCTACCTTACGTAAGAGTTAAACTCACTTCCAAATCAAAGTTATGTACACATGGTAGCATGATCCAATCACCTAGAGAACTTTCTACCACTTTGCATGTACATAAAAATGAAGTGCACATATTCATACGCATTGCAGGCAATGATAGAACCATTCCTACATTGTGGTAACACTTGAGTATCAGAGAAAATGACCCCATCAGATCCTGCAAGGTGATGTAATATAATAATTATACTGTACACACACAAGGTTTGTTTTGCAAATAAACATTTATCACCGAACAAAGAATTTGGAGAGCAAAGCAGAACTTGTTGCTGCTCTGACTCAAATGTCCGCTTGAGCTATTGAACTGAAAAAACAGGCAGAAAAGGAAAAACTGCAAAACACATTGAAAGAGGCTGAGCACTTTAAATCGTGGATGGATATGAAAAAAAAAAATCAAATATTTCATATTCCTCAAATAAATATATTTTTTAGTCCTGACCATAGTAAATAAAACAAAATGTACACATAATCACTATAAATAGCTTCAGGTTGTCTAGATCTTCACGAGACTACAAACATTCCTAGAAAAACCATGTGCGCATATGGTCTGTTGCAGAAGTGATCATGTATTTTGTAAGCGTATTAGCCTGTTCCTTTGCATGGAGTGGTAATAAAGATATTAAAGATATTTCTGAACACAGTCAATACAGAAATACATCAGCAACCGCACAAGTGTGCAGACAGCAGTGGAAGGTATATTTAGATTTATAGCAGCGGGACGAAACAATTATGATAATGTAAACACCTTGCAATGGTCTGAATTAATGAGGACTTTATTTTTCATTACCCCTGTAATCCACTAGAATGTAAACGGACAGCAGTGAATTGAACTGTGATTTCACAGAAACTGTACAGTTTAAAGGCAGCACGTCTTATTAGAAGGAAACACTGCAGCAGATTAGTTGTGAATGTTCCAGGATTGACACAGTTTGTAACAGACATTAATAAATACTAAGTAATATTATTATAGCCTTAGTGCTACTATTATAACAATGAACAAGGTTAAATACAGTCAAATGACTAGTCTGTAAACATCAATGTTCAGCTGAGCTCTCGCGGGCAGGGCCCTCCTTACCATCTTGTCTTGATTTGTATTGGAACTGTAATGTTTTACTTATACTGTAAAACGCTGCGAAAACTGCTGTTGCTATATAAATCCTGTATAATAATAATAATAATAATAATACACATAAAAACCTCA